CGACCATGTTGCTTCCGAATATGACCATGGGGCTTCCCTATAGCCCTTCGAAGATCCAGCCTTCTGGAAAACCAGTTTTTTAGAAACCCCAAAAAAATAACCCAACCCTTTAGTAAAATTGCAGGATTGTAGCCCGCAAATTTCTGATTAAAGTGAAACATTCCCCAGCTCTACACGACCTTTCTTTGCAAAGCTATAGAATTTATAAGAAGAGGTCTAAATTAATTATTTCCTTCTTATTTCTGTAGCTTTGAGCTGACAATGAACAATTTAGGGCTTTTTTTTATAAAATTTTATAACTTTGCTAAGAAAGGTCTTGTAGAGCTGAGAGATGTTCCATTTTAATCCGAAATTTGTACGCTACATTCCTGCATTATTAAGCAAGGTTGGGTTATTTTGGGAGGTTTCTGAAAAACGGGTTTTCCAGAAGACTGGATCTTCGAAGGGCTATGGGAAAGCCCCATGGCCATATTCGAAATCAGCATGGTCGATAACCTGTAACCCACTAACTGTCGATCAAAAAGCGATTTATCACCTCGGGAGGTTCCCTCGTTAGAACTCATGTTTAAATATGTTTTTCTGAACAATCAGGGTTTTCACGGCGTACTGCGCCGATCCCTCAAAACTTTACTAGAGGCTTAGATTCCAATATACTCAAGTGTTTTTTCGACGCAGCTCTCCAAGACGTAACATCGAGGATTTATAAGAAAATTTCATGGAGAACCGGATTTCGATTTTAAGACTTCCAAAAACCAGCTGTCTTCTCCGTTTGTCTTTGTTTGAATTATCTTGCGTATCCGATAATCGTTGGTGGTAAATCAATCAACAATGAATTATTGTTCAAAATCTAAATAATCGAAAGCTAGTAGAATTTTAAATCTTAAACTCTAATGCGATTTTAGGCGTCTACATTTAAGGAATAACTTTAATTTATCAGGAATGCATGAAACATGTAAAACTGAGCTATCAGCTTCTCAGATATAAACTTAAAAATTTACCAGTTATTTATCTATACGTAACAATACCATGAACAATATTTTGTCCGTCAGGATTAACTAATTTATAATGTTTATAGACCCAAAATTAAAATTGAGTTGTCTGCATTTCGTCATTTGAGGCTAATGCAGTCTTGTCGTACATACTTTATTTAACAATTTATGAGATTTCTCATTGAGAAATTGAATACGTATACCTGATTTTTCGTAAAATTTCATACTGGAGAACACAGTAATCCCTCACATATTATTCATGTTTTTCCTCTTTGCTGCGCATATAATTGGGCCATAAGTACGATGCGTGTTTTCTCTTTGTTTTGGTGAGAATTCATTTTTCCTTTCCTGCCAGTGTAGAAGCATATCTCGATCGGAATATGCTTCTATACTGGCGGGGTTTGAATGTTGACCGTGAGCTTAGTCGACCAATCAAGAACTTTTAGCGTGATTTTATGATTCTATGAAAGTACACATGAAGATCGCTGCATTACGACACAGAGCAAAACATCAATGAATATTTCTTATAAAAGAATTTTTCGATGTTTTCAGTGTAACTGATGCATAGCTGATTGAATTTGGGATATTTTTCAATATCACGATCGGATACAAAATGTGGTTTTACTAACGAGCGAACGTTCCCAACTGATAAATCGCTTTCGGGACGAAACCTAGTGGACTATAAATAGTCGACAATGCTGATTCCGAATATCAACATGAAATGTGCTGCTGGGCCTCCAGAGACTGGTTTTCTAAAAAACCAGTTCTGCAGAAACTCCAGAAAATCTCCCAAACTTTTCTCAATAAGTCGTATTTGTAGCGCGCAAAATTCTGATTAAAATGAGATATCCTCCAGCTCTACACGACATTACTTGGAAAAGTCATAGAATTTACAAGAGCCCTAAATTCCTCTTCCTTTTTCTTTCTAAATCTCTGAGCTGTCAATGAGCATCAGGGGTTTTCTTGTAGATTCTATAACTTTGCAAAGAAACGGCGTGTAGAGCTGGGGGATGTCTGATTTTAATCAGAATTTTGCGCGCTACAAACATGACTTATTAAGAAAAAGTTTTGGAGCTTTTCTGGAGTCTCTGAAAACTGATTTTCTATAAAACTAGTCTCAAGAGGCGTAGCAGCACGTCTCATGTGGATATTCAGAATCAGCTTGGTCGACTACCTATAGTCCACCAGGTTTCGCCCGAAAGCGATTTATCAGCTGGGAATGTGCCCTCGTAAGTCTGTCAGTTTAAACACGAAAAACAAGTAGCTGGTAGGAAAATACACTTTACCTCCAGAAAAACAGAATATAAATTAGTTTTTGACGCTCTTTCAGATGATGATGTTAACACCTTGTGATAACGCCAGGAGTTTTGCGCTAATGAATTTTAATAAAAAGAATCGCACTTTATACCCCGATCGAAAAATATATTTTTCATGTATATAGTTTGATCCAGATATAGAGTATGCGACTCTACTGCCTGTAGTGTGTGTACATAGTTATTCAGTCTAACAGAGCAGAAGACGGACCAGTAAATCATTTTATTCTAGAAGAAGTGAGACCATGAACCATCCAATCAATACTCAAACAAGTCGTCGTCGGTATACTAAATATGTAAGTGTTCATTTCTTCCTCAGAAGTAATAGTCATTCTTTTTTCTTCACATTTCTTTTTTGTTCAATTTTAAAAATAATACATCTCTGAAAAGTACAAGAAGGTCTTCTTACTCAATCATTAGTCAAGTTGACAAGAGAAATGGTATAAAATGTCATATCATATATATTGAAAATTTTTTACTTCAAGTTTCTCTTTACTTTTTGCAAACCTTTTATTGTAAAAGCTTTATTAGTCATCCAATATTTCTCAACAAATAAATTCGCAACGTCTTTCATACAAATTGCTTCATTATCATTTTCTATTAGAAGTGTTTCTAGTCTTGTATTGTTCTCCAGAATTTTATCTGATAAGTGCTTTGATTTTAAAATGTATTTCTCTCTTTTTTCATATTCTTTATTTATGAAAGTTTATAATTCAAACTACAGCAAAAAACGTACGATAACAATTCTTTCTATAAATATTGAAAAATTATAATTATCTATCTGAAAAATATGGCATCACATCGTCTTTTAATGGTACTAGCGTTGATTTCTGTTACCATTCATCTGAAGGCAAGTAAACCAATCTCATCTAGTGAAATTATTACGAAAAAACGACGTACAAATCTTGATTATTTTGCTTTATTGGACGAAGATGATAATGAAGAAGATTTTATTTACAATAGGTCACCTGATTATGAAGTACAAACACTAAGGAATTATTGGATTAAACGACTTTATGAATTTTTACTATTCAATCTACAGAACAACAATCCAGATAGTGCTCATTATGAAGATAAACCAAATCAAAAGTCTCATAACGTCTAGTAAAACCGTTTAATGTATTGTAAATTAATTTTCATTTACTAACTATAGAATGTTATCGAATACCTCTAGCTAGAATGTGCGAGGAAAAGTTATCCAACAGGTCTACGTTATTATCAAGATTTAATAAAGAAAAAATTTACACTTTCCTTAGATCTGTTCAAAATAGAAAAAGCATCAGTCAGATGGTGTGACCAATCTTTTCAGAGAATTTAAACAGACGTATAATGTACAAGCATTACAACATCTAGTCATTAACGCTATTTTACACAAAATCTGTAACAGAAAAACTGAGAAAAACTATTGTACGGTAAGAAGAAAAATCTTATCATGATGCCGTAGCAAAAAATAGAGACAAATACATTGACAGGCACACAAACATCCGTCACCAGATCATTTAGATAGCTATAAAACTATAACAATGAACAGGTAATATCATATTTAGAATCTTCAAATAAAACTGTCCGAAATGAAACGATCATGAGCGTTTGTCAAATATCAGTTCTTAGAATCTCAAAACTGAGTGTCTTTTGAACACAAGCTTTTAACCTTTTCGGTCCTAGCTAAAGATGAGTTGGTGTTCGCAGGAAAGCGCTATTATTCACACATTTCGTAAGATGTAGATGTCGTTTCTTTTCTTCCTATAAAATGGTTAACGCGGGTGGGTGAAACACGAGCACAGAAAGTTGAGCACGGAAAAGTTGAGCACCAGGAAAATTAGGCACGAGTATGTGGTGTAATGAGTATGTAATGAGTACTAAGAAACATGAGCACAAATTTATTTTCCATCCAGTAAATTTTTTGTATCATAAACAGTTGAAAAAATCTAAGAGTTAATTTAATCAATTTATTTAATATACTGTTGTCGAAAAGTCATCGATATAGAAATTTTAATAATTTGTTAAAAACCAACAGTTGTAAAATTTAAAAATAGATTTGTTGACAATTTAATCAATATACTATTAATCGTCGTATAGGATTTCAATGCGTACATCCTACGTTTTGGTCATTTTTACAAAAACTAATTCATGAAAAACACGCAACACATGCTGATATTGCACATATAAATAGTGGTGAAGCACCAAAACATAAAACAAATGAACGGTTTGAACGACGTCTTTTAAATCTTTTATTACATCCACATGATGATGATATTCTTATACAACTAAATAATATTGCACATACTATTTGTTTATAAAATAAAGACTTCTTTCTTTGTTAATTATGTAATAAAAAATTTAATATTTCATATAATAGTATATTGAGTAAATTGATTAAATTAACTTTCTCTTAAATTTTGTCAACTGTTAATGATACAAAAAATTTAATGGGTAAATTATAAATTTGTGCTCATGTTTCTTAGTGCTCAACTTTCCTTGTACCCACGTTTCTTAGCGCTGTCCGTGCTCAAGTTTTTTCGTGCTCGTGTTTCCAGTTCTCGATCTGAACGTTTGACTCAAAATGAGACAAAATTAATAATATTATTCGCATCACTCCTTTCACATTCGTTACAGAATGAAAGTGAAAGTTTTATTTCATATCTTTTGAAACTGTATCGATATACTTCAGTCAACATGTGAAAGGATGAATCATAAGAACGAAAAAAAACTCAGCGTAGGCGAATAATCCTAAAACAGACGCTGTACTCATTATTAGGCTACTTGCGTTTGTTTTCTTCTTCCATTCTTTCTTACATGCGCCTTTCACATTAGTAAAACCGTTTAATGTATTGTAAATTAATTTTCATTTACTAACTATAGAATGTTATCGAATACCTCTAGCTAGAATGTGCGAGGAAAAGTTATCCAACAGGTCTACGTTACTGTTACTATCAAGATTTAATAAAGAAAAAACATTTCTTACATACTTTCACGATTTTTTTAAAACGATTAACGTAGACAGACAAAAGAAAACAGACATATGAAATGAATGAAAGTGAAAGTATTGTTAGTCAGTCTTCTTTCGTCTAAATGAAACACTACTATATATGAATAATGTTACAGAAAAGAAAAGAAATCTCGTTCGACGTTACAGAAAGAGAACGGAAACGTGTAACGTTCATCTCATCTCTAGTCTTAGCTCAACAGAAGTATTACACTGCCTTCTCTGAACACAGTGGCACATAAAAAGATCTTTGCTAACGTGCTGTTCGTGTGGGTGAACGGCCAGCTCACCCATCGAGAATGGTAATAATGTGACTCCCGTTATAGAGCCACAAATATTCAAGAAACTAACTTGATAAAAGTCGAATTTTTTTCAGGGTGAACGGGCTACCTAACCCGCGTGATCGGAATTAATAATGACATAGTATAAGATGTTTACGATAAACCTTTGCAGTAAAACCATACAATACCTATACACTAGTATCGTAAAATTGATGTGAAACAGTTTAGAAAGCCAGTATCTGAGTAGGTTCTAGTTCGCATCTCGTAATCATAAACAAGTCACTAGCATTTAAAACTTTTATAATAATCATTATCAATAGAAAAACGAATCATACAATGATCACATTTAAATGGGAGTTTATACAAAACGTTCATGTAGATTATAGTAGATGAGTTAGTAGAAGATATTCAACCTAACCAAGTATTAGAAGTTACTTTAGAACTAGTTGATATAATCCTACGTTAGAAACAATTTGGAACAATAGGTTTGTCAATGTTTGTAGTCGGAACTATCGCACATTAGCGATAACAATGACCATTGAAATCGCCGACGGGAACTACCGATTCATATATGATCGACGAATCTTACACTCTCTGATTCAGATAAATGTTTAATGAACTTAGCAGTATCATGCCACTGATGTCTATAGTATAAACAAATTAAAAAAGATTCCGTTCGTTATTTCTTTAAGCTGATAAAACACATCTCAAACTCCTTGTTTTTATTGAACAACAATCTTTTATGAGCAACTCCTTTTTCAACGAATACTATTATTCTTCCATCTAGCATTGTTTCCTCTCTTTTCTAATTAGTGTTTTATAACTATTCAAAACGTAGAGACTATGCCTATCCGAAGAACTAAGCCATGTCGCAACTACTGGTTTCGCTTTATTAACTTCAAGTTTGAGTAAATCTACTTTACTTATCGATTCTTTTATATTCTGAAGTATACTCCTCTCCAGTTTCAGAATAGAACTTTTTTACCACATTGTGTTCAACTTCCGTTGTTACACATAACCTTATTTCAATTTGAATGGTAGTAGTGTCTAAAAAAGCGTGTGCTAAATAAATCAATGATATAGAAGCACAGTATCACAATATCATGATGAAATTTGCGTACCCTAATATGATGTTTAATTAAAGCGGGAATAGCAGTATAAAAAATGTTTTTGGGTTTCCCGTTTTTTAGTTAAAAGGAGTAAGCATAAAATTCAAACAGAATAGGAGTTCCATAAATCACTGCCAAAAGAAATAATATCAGTTGAACAAGCATCAGCGGATAGTCTGTAGAAAACTGAAATATGAGACAATACACATTTTTTAATAATACCAGACGTTCTTGATCTTCTATCCTAGCTCGTAACTCCTCAATTTGTATTAATAGTACATCCAGTTTATTTTGAATGTCTTTTTTCAGTTGTTGTTGGAGATGAGTAGCTAGTTTGTCATATATGATATCACCAATTTTGTTCGCCTTATGCGCGAGATCACTACTATTAATACCGACAATCTTGAGAATATCAGTTGACATCACTTAATAATTTTTCATCGTCGATAAAAATGAATTTTTTATTTTATAAGCGTTAAACGATTCGATGATGAACGAATCAATCTACCTGTTTGCTCCTGAACTATATTTTTGACATAAATAATTACTTAAACATGAAGAATTAAATACATATATCGTTACTATCTCGTACTCTTTCTAATCGCATATACATATCCGCTCACGATGAAAAGAAAAGAATTTAGTTTGATAAAATTGATTCGAGTTTGCATGAAAACTTTGCGCAACTGGCAACTGATTAACTGGTGACCAACTATACAAATACACGCGTATATACATTACTATTGATTAACTGCTCGCATTGAATTCAAAATAAAACAATCTTATACCCAAAGCAGCAACATACAGCGTACGATAAAAGTATAAACGTTTTTGATTTTTCTCGGCTTGACCGAGAGCTTTAAAAGTGATCAAACATGTCAGATATGTAGCTGGAAATCTGGAATACAAAATGAACTTTGCAGAACCTGCACAGAAGTTTTGGCACTAAAAACAAATTTACTGCAGCAGAAAAAAGTTTAAACTCTTTTCGTTGTCTCACCTTTTCCCACGTAGATACTTTCGTTATAAAAGAAACGAAAAAGAACATGCGTTTCAATGAGATATCGGAGTTTCATTGAAAAATGTTTCATTAAAAAGACTTGCATTAAAAGGAAGTTCATTAAAATTTGAATGAAATTCTTGTGCCATCAGAAACTCTAGGTCACAGCCATTTTGTATGAGACATTTTAATGAAAGTAGCGGGAACAAAGCATTTTTAATAAAACTTTCAGTACTTTCATTCAAAGATATCGTTTTAATGAAAGTATTTTTAATGAACGCTACCCAATCCTTTTGACTCATTTTTCCAGAAACAACTTAAAATAGGTCAACCAGTTCGAACAGAAATCGTATGAAGTTGTGAAAAGTCTCATTTTGTGCAGAGAAACATGCTCTACAAAGCCAGCACAAGTTCAAAACTTTGGGATGCCATTTTGAGCTCTAAACAAAGGTTATAAAAATATTGAAACAGATTAGGTGGCGTTCATTAAAAATACTTTCATTGAAACGATATTTTTGAATGAAAGTACTGAAACTTTTATTAAAAATGTTTTTTTTCCCGCTACTTTCATTAAAATGTCTCATGAAAAATGGCTGTGACCTAGAGTTTCTGATGGCACAAGAATTTTATTCAAACTTTAATGAACTTCCTTTTAATGCAAGTTTTTTTAATGAAAAAATTTTCAATAAAACTCCGATATTCCAGTTAAAATCGGCTGACGAAAGTGCT